GCGTGGTTATACATGCAACAATATATAAAATACAGTGCTATTTCACCAAGATAATGTAAATTGCTTCCGCATCCACCATACTCTTCAAATCTGACTCTCAACGACAAAATTTTTATTTTGTTATTTTACAAAWGTAGTAATATGGAATTATTATAGAATGTGTTGACTTAAACACATTGTGAAAATTTCAAAAAAAAAAAAAAAATAATTTATTTCCAAAGTTATAGTTGTTTGGGTTGACCCTGTTCCAAAAAAAGGTACTTGCGGTGACAACCATAAGTCCTTGGAGATTCATCAAAAATCAATCGGACAAAAAAAATTAGTTTTATAAATAGATAATCCTGCGCCTGATCGAAGGATTTTGTTTTTTTTTTCAAAATTAATAAAATGGCGGCCTCGGGAAATTTTTTTCTAAATTTTTGCGAAAAAATCAACAGTTAATTGGTCCTAAAAATCGGAAAGATCCTTCGATCAGGTCCGAGTTTATTATGTATTCTAAAAGCTGTATAAATTTCATTAAAACATACTGAGCGGTTTTCGAGTTACACTTGTCACCAGTTCAAAAAACATAGTTTTGCGAAAAACGCCTTTAAAGTTTCACGCGCTTTGAAGTGCGTTATTAACTTATTTAACTCAAAAACTAATTATCGGATCAACGTGAAATTTTCAGAGAATTTTTTTAAGATATTACACTTAACGAAAATGCAAAAAAAAAAACAAGTAATTTTTTGAAAATTCTGACTACCCCTAACCCCTTAAAAAATCTGAATCGTAATGTTGAAAATAATGATGCAAATTATTACTTTTAAATTTTTCCAGAAAAACTCTCATATTTTATATATTTGTCACCTATTTGTGTAGGAGTGATGTCATTAGCTCCTATAAAAATACAACTCCAATACACTGTATGTATGAGAACACCTCATTAGGTTTCATAACTTCATTGATTTGCTTCGTAATTTGCGATTTGATCTTACTTTGGCAAATTAAGTCCGTTTTTACGTTACTTCGATTATCATCGGCAAACAGCTGACAAAAACATGAATGAAGTGAGTGGCTCTTAACCATTCACGTAGTTGGTCGTCAATTATTGCTTTTTAGGTGAGTGGGTGTAAATTCCGCATTTTTTAGTAGATATACATTGCCACAAATAGTAATTTATCTTTTTTAAATAATATAAATCCAATTCTAATGCATTTGATAAGCAAATCACAGTCGTAATTGTGACAAAGCAAAGTTTGCTCATGAGGAACCCACACATATTTCGAGATACAATATCTAATTAAGACATATTAGTATCATGCACAATTTATTATTTAGTTTTTGCTGTAAGGTGTTTTAATGTTCACGGGTATTTAAAGCATATTGATATCTTGGAGTCATTATATGGAGGGATATAACTTACGTATTAGGAAGTGATTGTGAGCTTTAAAATTATAATTTTTTAGCATTAGAAAAATATACGTTTAAGGGGTTGCCTTACTCTTGAGGCCTGTATGTCTGGAATTGTTTTACGCTCAGTATAAAAGGATTGCCTTTTTTATCGCTATTTCATTTCAAAATTTTAGAAAAAATATTCAAAGAAGGTGAAATAAATTCACTCCTCTGGTTTTCTGAAAACAAAAACAAAAAAATTTAAAATAAGAAAAGTGCTGGAAGAGTTTCTCCCTAAACGACAAATCCTTTAATTAAATGTTTGTTTTGTCTAYTATATTCTCACTTATTTTTGCCTTAACCAGTTTGCACTTTGATATGTCTATCTTCTCATTCTCAAAAGTTCACTAGCGCACTTCTTTTGTTTCATGCAAGCGTCATAAGCATAATAAGTTGCTCATACGCCCCGTTGGCCATTTATTTAAACTGATACTTATTCATTACTTATCAGCCTATTTATAAATACTCTCAAAAAGCCAGTTATGTGCTAAAAATGAATGAAAATTTCATGTGTAACAACATAGTGCTACAACAACACTTACCGGCCTCTAGGKAACTTGTAATCATAGTAAACATTGTTAAATTTATGCTTTAATATATTTTTGTGTTCGCCGAACATTTTTCATTGCAATTGCTTATGTGTGTTGGTAAGTGTTAATGATTGGCTGGTATTTTGTTATTTTAATTATAAATTTCAGATTTTACGTGCATGTTAAGTTTGTACGCGTACAAAGTTGTCATATTTGTATACAGTGTCATTGACTAATATTTGAAAGTATTAAGGGATATACCTAGTATTAAAAAACGGAATTGTTTTTAGACAAACAAACTACTGTATCCATTGTTTAATAAATTTTTATTCATACCCATATCTTCAAATATTTTTTCATTTCTAGCGTATTTGTATCTGGTGTATGTAAACAAGCATAATTGCCACATTTGAGGGTATTTTTATACATATTTTAAGAATACAAAGTAGTCGTGTTTGGCATGCCAAAATTCAATTCTTCAAATCGAAAAACTAATGGATCCATTTCGAGGTTCCCTACTTGGAAAAAAAACCATTGCCACTTCAAATTTAATGTAGAATGTTTATTATCACTCGAAAGAACATTCTTTGGTATTTATTTTTTGAAGATTATCTCTTTTAAATGTTGGCCGTGAATACATCTCAAATGGCTCAACCGTTGAATTCTATTTGTTGTTTGAGCATTTCGACTGTTAACTGGCGCACGACATCACGTGATATTTTGCTCCATCGCCTGAATTCGAGTGGGGTAGTCCGCATAGACTTTAGACTCTACACATCCAAACAGGAAAAAGATTAACGGTGTGATATCATACGATCTTGGTGGCCAATCTACCAGCCCAAAATCTGAAATTATCTGCTTACCGGAGTCCTCTCAATAAATCCATTGATTGCCGCGGTGTGTGAGAAGTAGCACCGTCTGGTTGAAACCAAATGCCGGAGCTTCAATTTCAAGTATCAAATAGTCGGATAACATGGCGTGATAACGGTCGCCATTGATAGTTACGTTCTCATCCAAATATGAACCGATGATTCCTCCGGCCCACAAACCACACCATCATTGGTTTTACTGGACACAATGGCAGCTCTTGAATCTCTTCAGGTTACTCTTCGTCTCAAATGCGTCAATTATGCTTGACACCAGATACAAATACGCCAGAAATGGAAAAATATTTGAAGATATGGGTATGAATAAAAATTTAATTTTTTTTAATTCTTATTTTATTTTGTAATTCCATACTAGGTATGCCCCTTATAAATGTAAATGTTTATAGAGTGCTTCAGCTATAAACATATGTATGTGTTTACTTCCGTGTTTATTCACTTAAATTGTTTTAATTAAAATTGGCGTGAACTTATTGGCGATCAACACAATCACATAAACATATATTTTG